TCAGAGACAGAGTGGGGAGCAGAACAGACAGATTGACAAAGTAAACTGCTGAGCCGGCAGGTCAGGAGAGCTCTGTCATGCCATGTATGTCACCGCCTTGGCGGTGCTGCAGTGGCTTCAGAGCTTCATAATGCGCTGCTTTAACCCATTTTGCCACCAGGGAGAGCCTTAATTGTGGGGTTCTTTTTTCTAATTCTTTGAAAGAAGCGTCACTAGTCTCTAGATCGAGTTAACTTCCAAAGTTGGTCCTAAGGAATAAATGGGGCTTTAAGAATGCCAGTGCCCATGTGCATGTTCCTTTTATAATTAAAGGGAAAGAGCAAACTTTTTATAGCTACTCAATGACGGCCCAGCCCAAGGACCACTTGGCTCATTAGTTTGTTGCATTCCAGGGTTTCTGACGCCCCATGGCCACTTGTTGTCAGCTTCTTGAAACTGCAGAAATTTGCCTCTGCAGGTGTGGAGCGTCTGCTTGAATTCCTCAGGGTGCATGAGAGAGCAAATTATTTAGGCAGTAGAGCTGAAAATGTGGGCAAATTAGAATTTTTCATAGCAAAATTGTTCATTGTTAAGCCAATTCATGATTATATGTGTGTGTCTTGCTTCAGATATTCTGCCACACAATAAACTTCTCTGCTGTGATGAATATGTATGTGGACTAATTTAATCAATATACTTGTGACAGTAGTGATTTCTGACAGAACTCATCCTTTGAAATACCAGCTGAGTTAATGTGTGCAGTAGATATGTGGGCCAAGACTCATAATTTATGGTAAAGGGAGATTATTTTGAAAAGACACAACAGTGCCTGTTAGAAAAGGGAAAAGCCTGAGGGATGAAAAGCAAAGGGCAAAGGGATTTTTGCCCTTTTCCTTCTTATGAGACTGAAAATTCAAATTTATGTAACAAACTGCCTTCCTTTTGAAAAATGTGTAAGGCATTGAGTCCATCTATTTTTTTTTTTCATTGATACATTTGAATCCCGTAAATTGAAAGGTGGAGAGGGCAGCTTTGTGCATTGTTGGATTAAATGGAAGACTGAGTGAATAAGTGCCCTTCTCCAATTGGCAAATATTTGCTTTCTGGAAATATCAACATGTGTGATCAGGTCACATTCAGAGAGTTTGCTTTTTGGTGCAGGTGGATTTTTGTTATTTCCTAAAGAGCACTTGCCATTCTGAGATAAGAGAGCCACCCAGGGGATAGGCTTGTAAAATATTTTCATCTGACCAGTCAGAAGACCTGAACTTTGCTTTGGAGAAACCCTCCCATCACCTTACTCATGAAGCTTGTTCTAGATAATACTGAATTGTTTGGCCAACTTTGCCCAGAACTAAGCCCTCACCTAGGCAAATATCAAAGTAAATGGACCTTTGCTTAAAAATACAGATCATCTACAATGAGTTCATTCGTAGGAAGCACCTTGACCTCTGAAATCTTGTAAAATCTGTCTCAGCATGAGTAACTTCCACAGCTGAAAGATACTAGCAGCTAAAGAAAGGCTGAAGACCAAGACCCTGGGAGCAGGACTTGAGGCAGAAGTCCTGTGCATTAGTGGCGCTAAGCTCTCAGTTTGGGCTTCAGTGACCCTCCAGCCACTGCTCCCCTTTGAAGCCAGGCCCTGAGCTGTTACTGGGCATAAGTTCTGGGCAGCAAGTACTCCCCATGGCCAGCCTGTCACGAACAGACCCTTCCTTACCTGACTTCATGTCACTTGCAGGATTTCAGGACCCAACAACAGGGCATTTTGGTTGCTGCCTCGAGCATCATCATTTCACTTCTGGTGTGTCATCCATTAAGAGTCCCTGTAGACCGAACCACTGCAACACATCGTTTTCAGTTTGATCCAGATACAGTTTTACTCAGTCTTATTCAGATGGCCTACCCCAGGGCCTTCATATTCTTATAAAGAGCTAAATAAAAATTCTTGATCACCTCATGGTTAAGAAGGAATGCAAATAACTGTTAGGAGACCCAAGCTAGGCCATTGTGTTCCTTAATTGTTTCGGGTAGTTTTGATGCTGACTTATTTCTAAGACCTCATAAGGTTTATGTCTGATTTTTGTGGTTACAGCTCGAGGTGTGACATGAGCTCAGTGTCAGTCTTATTTATTTCACATATAAATTTTGTTTAATAGATGAGCCAGATATTTTGTGTTGCCTGATTATTCTTTCTTAGGGGTTGGATGGGGTGGAGAAGGCTAGTACTCATTTTAGAGTAGTTAATTCACATGGGGAAATCTAGCCAAACACTGCCATCATCTTTCAGAACAACCTAAGGCTTTTGTGAGTCTCTGAAAAGTTTTGGGTGTAACTCTCTCCCTTCCTCTCTCAAGATGCAGACAATCAATGGAACAAAAGTTTTGCCTTGACTGTATTTAAAATATGGGAAGGACCAGAGCTGTGAAGTATATCATTAGTTAAGAATTCAAAATGAATTTTCCTTGAAGAAATCAAAATAGTCACTAAGATGAGAAAGCAGACTTGTAGGTAATAATTTTGTTAATTGTGACCTTATACAATTGAGTCCAAATAGACAGACTATGTAAAAAGACATTATTGGAGTATTAGAAAATCTTGGGTTTTTGGAAAATGTATTGGCTTTGAGGCTTCAAACAATTTTTAAATCTGGACAAGCGATGAAGACTCTCTTGCTAGAATATCTTGCCTCCCTGAAAGTCTCCTAATACTAGTTCTAGTTTCCTGTACATATGGTTTATAATGAGGCTAAGTCAAGTAATTTCACATGTGTTCTTTCTAAGTTTGGAGTAATACATCTCATCAAGTCCAAAGTGATTGTGGAAATTATCCCAGGATGTGGGATTACACTAAAAGAAAATGCAAGCTGTGCATACGCGTGTGTTATGTGTGTTACATAGTCTTTAAACAAGCCATTGCTGTGTATAAGGCATGGAGCCTGGGTTATGAAAAGGAAATATACTTGGTTACTGGCATTTGTGTTTGTGTGTGTTATTTAGTTAATATTCTGACATAGTATCCAAATGAATATGAATTTCACTTAATGGAACGATTCAGGTAAACCAGTGAACATTGCCAACCTGGCTTTATAGCTCAGCATTGGTCTTTTTATTTCACATATCAATTTTTTTTAATAAGTCAGCCAGGTACTTTGTTTTGCAGAATTATTCTATTCCTTTGGTTGTTTTTAAACCTTAATTGTGCTCTTTCCAACTCTGCTCAAGATGATAATGTATTTGCTTGGAAGTGTGCTTTGTCATATTCAAGAACTTTGGTGCAATATGTATTATTTTGTTAGTCTTCCATCATGCAACAGTTTTTTAGTAATTAGTTGATCAGACATATGTACACTGTACCAGGAAATCAGTTTTCAATGTAAAGAACTCCAAAGCTACATAATCTGTTTGTCAGGATTCATTATCATTACACTCAGATAGGACGCTAACTTTATGGCTGACAGATTTTGATCGTACACAAATGGACTAATTTTTAACACATGGCAACCATATTAATTAAAAAAAGATGGGTCAAAAATTCTTAAGTTATCATCATATGTAACTTGTTAATATTTTGAGTTGAATCATTTTCCTAAGTAGTCTTGTCTTTTTGGAGTATATTTTTCCCTACCAGTAGAGCTGCAATGCTCAGCCAAGACAGATTTATGACCTTTTAAAAATAATGATGGAAAATGAGATTGGAGGAAACGTTTTAGTATCTGCTTTGCTCTGAGGCCTAAACTGCGAACTCTCCAGTTCTTGAAGGCTTTGAAATGCTGATTCCAGTCTTCTTGTGGGTTCTTAAACACCTTCTCAAATGACCCATTTTAATAACCCGAAAGCTATTATATAACGAGCAGCCATAATTTAGTCCAGGGCTCTAGGGGGACCCTCACAGTTCAGCAATGAATAGTTAATGCAGTATAATGTTTAGCAGGTTATTAGTTTTCACTATACAAATGCTGATCAGGGAACGCTTTTATAAGGTGTTTAAAAGAAAATGTAATTAACTGGTTGCGTGCTTCTGTTGCAGCTCAAATTGAAATTATTCCATGCAAGATCTGTGGAGACAAATCATCAGGAATCCATTATGGTGTCATTACATGTGAAGGCTGCAAGGTAAGCCTTTTTAATTGTTGTTCCCATTCATGTTAGAATGTATCTTTGTGATTTTTATTTTTTACTTCTGCTGTGTGTAAAAACTCAGCTCCTTGGAATTTTGAGTGATGAGCAATGACAGGACAAAATAAATATTTTGGTGTTAAACTGCAATTCAGGAATAACGCCTTCCATCAAAATAACAGGAGACTAGAGAAGGGTTTTTGAGCACTGCTTACGTTTGTCACATCCAATCCTAGAACGGATTGAACTGATGAGCAATTTCTTTGGTTATCTTTTTTTTAAAAAAAAAAAAAAAGATAACTAGATTTCTGTAACATCCCTCTTATAAAGCTTTCTAAGAAGACATTTCCAGTAAGTTTGATCAGAATGTGATTGGATGTCTTATTCTGGCATACAGTTGCTAACTCATTTGGCCAGATTTTGACAATATTCAGAACAAGAAGAGGGTCTGACACACTAACCTCCTGTCCTTGTAGAACTATTCCAAGAGTAGATTAAAAAACTGAAAACAAAAGGCCTAAGGAACTGAAAAATGCTATTTAAATCTAAATATTCTATTGCTGTTGCAACTACTTTAGCTCTATCTGATGCTGATCTTCAGCACTGTGTACAGCACATGCATAATGGGAAAATGGGAAAGAAAGATGTTTGTCATCATCATTCCCAATGGCCTGTTACTCAAATTTCCATTTATTAAGATTTAAATCCATGGGCCCTCCCTGGTGGCGCAGCGGGTTAAAGCACAGCACTGAGAAACTAAAGCCACTTCCGCATGAGTTCAATTCCCACCTGCCCCGGAGGTGACCACATGGCGTGGCAGACCTCTCCTGACCTGCCCGCTGCTCCCCTCAGCAGTGTATTTCAGTCAGTCTGCCTGTTCTGCTCCCCACTCTGTCTCTGGTGAAGCCTCTCACTGCCCCTGAGCCTCTGGCCTGTACCCCAGTTCTGTATGAACAAATAAATAAATCTTTAAAAATAAATAAATAAATCCTGCTCATATTGGAAGAGCCTCAAGATCGCTTACAGTGTAAAATTAACAGGAGCGAAGCTCTTTAAATACCAGGAGGCCTTTGAGGCATGGAATCACACCTTCATGAGCCCTGAGGCATTTTGAGGCTGAAGTAATAAATACAATCCAGGAATTTGGGTAGCTTTCCTGTAGTGAAATTAAGAAAATATACTGTCATAAGGTACAAAGTCTCCTACAGACAAATAACTACTAAGAGCCTTGAGGGAAATGTGCCTTGTGATTTCCGAGTCTTTGTTTTACTGTTAATCATGGTGACATTCACCACTTTGTATGTGCACAAGTGCTTCCCACTGAGCAGTGAAAATAGAGATCTGCACCAACACCAAATACACTCAATAATCACAAATTTTTTTCAAATGTCACCTGCGGGGCCCTCCCTGGTGGCACAGGGGGTTAAAGCACAACACTAAGAAGCTAAAGTCACTTCAGCATGAGTTCAGTCCCCGCCCCGGAGGTGACCCACAGGCGTGACAGGCTTCTCCTGACCCGCCCGCTGCTCCCCTCAGCAGTGTACTTTGTCATTCTGCCTGTTCTGCTCCCCACTCGGTCTCTGATGAATCCTCTGGCCTATACTCCAGCTCTGAATGCATTTAAAAAAAAAAAAGTCACCTGCCTCCGAGGAGTGAGGAGCGAGGAGCCTGCTCTTGCAAGGGGATTTTAAATTTAGAATTATTCATCTCTCTGGTAACCCTCAAAACTTCAGGGGTCTAGGTTTTCAAGAAAAAAGTTAGGCACATTTATTGCCTTAGTCTGCCTTCCCTCAAAATTAATTATTTAAGTAAATTTAAAAAAAAAATGTAAACTAAATCAACTTCCTGGCCCACGATACCCAGGATGTAAGGAAATGGCAGTGACTTGCGGAGGCCGCCAACCCTTGGCGTCCCTTGGGCTGACGTGGTTGGCGGTTCTCCCTCCCCTCACCGCCCTGTGCATGCCTCCTGCACATGTCCCACATGAAGATGACGTGGCCTTTCCTGCAGCAGTGCCCCCCTATTAGGGGATCAGCACAAACCTGATTTTAGTTCATGGAACCCCACCTAGATTTGTTATTCAGCAGACAGGTCTTGGGTACCACTGACTGCTTTGTGCTCTGTCTTTCTACCCCAGAGAGTGATCGCTCAGTCTGCATCGTCCAGTGACATCGCATCTGGTTTTATGAGGCAGTCTGGAGTGAGAATCCAGGAGTAGAGCCAGGGAGGGTCAGGGGCTGGGCTGCTTCCTAGGAGATGGCCCTGAAGTCCGGAGAATGAATTAACTGCTGCTCAGGAAGACTCGGTTGCCTGACTGAACACCTCTGTGTGCTCATAGGCATAAACAATGTGTGTTTTCTTTTTACACACCAGTGTTTGTTTATGATAGAAACAAAAGCAATAAAAAATAAAAGACAGCTATTATTTCACACTTGTCCTTTTTCGAGATTCCCTTCCAGATCTTGACTATATATAGCTTAAGTGCCAAAGTGGCTTTCGGTTATCTGTGGTTCTGTTCCTCTGTTGAAAGTCACTCAGGCAAACAATTAAATTTAATTTTATTAACAGATTGGGCAATGCCCAGCCTGGGACTTACACAATGGTATGTGTTTATATTTGGTGCATACAGTATTTGTTCTGCATTATAGTTCCTCTCTGCTATAACTAACATTTTTCATTTCAAGTTGTGATGAAGTCAAGAGACATCTGCTTTTGCTATTAATATTAATGATTTGTCATTTTCTAACCAGGTGAAGAAGGTTGTGTCATGACAGACTGTAAATAATTTATTGCTGTGATACTATCATTAGACATCAGGAAAGCTTCTAATTAGATGCATAGATGTCTGATGAGAGGGAAGACAGTGACTCAGTCATTTCTGAGCTAATCATTTTATGAATGTATTTTAAGTGGCATCTGAAAATCAACAACCTGAAACCACAAGAAACTAGAAAACCTAAGCACTGAAATGATTATCTATTTTACCACATATTTGCTCTGTGAACAACACAGAGCACATCAACAACAGTAATGGTAGACATTTTGCCAATTCTTTCTCTGATTCCTGGGTTTTCTCAGCTCAGCACCTGTCCCCTTTAGCCACCTATCAAGTAACAGGACTGTCACCCTGTGTTCCTACCTTAGGGCCAGACTACTTAGTTTGAATCCCAGCTCTTCTCTTTCCCATCTTGGATGACTACCCAGCCACTCTATGCCTCCATTTCCCCATCTGTAAAAATGAGGAAAGTCATTGTAATTACAATATGGGGTTATCATGTGCATTTAGGCCCAGCACTTAAGAGAGTTCCAGGCACGCTGAAGAACTCTGTTTGCTTGAATAATGTTGCTCTGTACTGTCAGATGTTTCCAGAACCTCTGTGGGTCCAGTCTTGATTTTAGGAACCATTGTGACTTAGTATATAGATTCTTCCAATAAAACAACCAAAAACATAGTACCCCATTGGGACCAGATATGAATGTAAGTACTGTAAGGCTCCAAAGACATGGAAGTTCTCCTCCTTCCCTCATGCAGTTTGTGGTCTCATTATAGAACTGAGGCCTGAGTAGGGAAAGCAAAATAGCAAGGAATTGAATACTAAGGCAAGGCCACAGTCTGTGATGAGACCCCCAGGAACACACGTGCATCAGGCTGTGGGAACAGTGACTTAGATGAGCGTGAATTAGAAAGGGTTCTCTGAAAATCCAGCAGTAGTCTAGGGCTAGCAAAGGACTTGTACTTTGCACAGCATTTAGAAGACATTCTGGACATAGGAGGTAGAAGTACTGGCAATGGCAATGGCAAAAACCCAGGAGTGGGGAAGTATTTATTATATCTTGGGGATGACGTACAACCCAGTTGGACTGGAGAAAGGAGTCCCTTTCTGTGCGCAGTGGGAGGTAAAGTAAATAGGTACAACATTTTCAAATTTGTAAGGCTTCCATCATGCCAAGATTTTTATTATGAAGATGTTTTAGTTGAAATAATGAGGGAACAGTAAGTGATACTACCCGAGCTCTGGGACCTACATTCCAGAAGACCATGTGTTAGAATCTAGGCCTCAACGGTTTAGTTCTGAAAATATGTTTCTGAGCCCTTGGAAAGACTGTAGTTCTAACACTGGGTGAAGATTAGGAGAGTGTAAAGCAAGTCTGCCAGGGAAATGGGGCCATGCCATGAAATTTGCAGGGGGGAAGGCTAGGAATTAAACAAGGCACCAGAGTTAAGGTTTAATCTTGAAAGCAAGTGAAAATGCTAAAGTATTTATAGAAAGAGTGTTGATAACAAACTGAATATGTCGATGTTTTCTTTAAGAAATGGCCACCTTCATCACTCCCATTCAGTTTAGCTTTAGCATTAGATTTGTAAGCTGTTCCAGTGATGATGATGGTGGTGGAAACTTTATTTCAAGGTTAAAATCACACTTGTTTGGATTTTTTTTTAATTTATTTATTTATGCTTACAGAACTAGGGTACAGGGCAGAGATGTGGTGGGTAAGAGGCTTCACCAAAGACAGAGTAGGGAGCAGAACAAGCAGATGTATAGAAATACACTGCCAGCATAGCAGTGGGCGGCTCAGAGAGGTCTGCCACGCCATATGGGTCACCTCCCTGGCAGGGATTTGAACTCGTGCTGCAGTGGCTTTGGAGAGCTTCACAATGTGGTGCTTTAACCTGTTGCGCCACCAGGGAGAGCCCTGTTTGGGGTTTTTATACCCCCATCCTTTTAGACTTTTGGCTCTATAATTTCAACTATAACTTTTCAAATGACAATGTACAGCCGAATTTTGGAGTTAGTAATTGATTTCTGGTTACATAAAGATATTTTGCTCTTGACCCATTTCTTTGGTCGAAGAATAAATAGTATCCCTGTGTCATATATTTACTTATCATTTAATGTACTTGAGATGATGCCTTATATAAAGCTTCCTCTTTCACTTGGTAAAGGGAGAATTCAGTGTTCCTTTTTACATGTACAATATATTATCTAGAATTACCA